TCAGAGACGTGATTTTTGCTTTTAATTTGAACTAAGATTTCTTACTATACAATTTTCAAAAACTAAAATATGGATATTTTGGTATTCAGTATGAGATTTTGGACCATATTAAATATTTTGGTTTAGCTGTTTGCCTTTGACACTGCTTCAGCTGTGTCAAAAAAGCCCCTACCTCATTATTCCTAAATGGGATTAGAAATCTTGGTTTTCTACTCAGCAGGGGCTCCTCATTACTGCTGGGCAGGAGTGTCTTATTAATGCTTCCCTTATTGTCTCCACTGGCTCTACAAAGTTGGAGGAGGCTTACAACATTATCCTAGAAGGGAGTGAAAATCCTAATTCTCCATTCGGCCTTCTCTTGCAGCATTCTCCTGGGGAAGGGAAAGAGCAACTCTTCAATACTCAAGTACGGATAGGAGGCCAAGGAGGTCTAATACTATTCTTATATGAGATAAAAATCCTGATTTCCTAGTCAGCATTCTCTTGACACCTCCAAAGTGGGGCCAGGGTTGGGCGGAGTGGTGGATGAGGGTGGTCAAGGAGACTTCTTATAATGTTCTAAGGTTAATTATAAAGTCTAGGATCTCCATTTAAGGGGTATTAGTTGAAGTGAGATCACAGTTTTTCTTTGGTGTGTGGCTAAAGGACAGTGATTAACATCTAAAAGTTTTCTGACTTGCCAGCTGCAATTTTTCCTGGTCCTTTGGCCAGAGAGTGCAGAATATTTTAGTCTGCGCCCATTGCTGTTTCCAGGTTGCAAACTTCTTCAGCTCCAAGTCAGGGATACATTAGGCAAAAAGAAAACCCAGGGAACTCACCACCATATTATTCGTTGGGTGCTGAGGTCCCTAGTCTGTATGCCTTCTCTCCACCTTTCAGAGTCTTCTTCTATTTATGTTATATATAATGTTCAAGGTTTTCAGTTGTTTTAGTGGGAGGAATAGAGCAATGTATATATCTACTCCATCTGAAAGCAGAAATCCCCACTTTGAAAACTGGTTCCCACTATATCCAACCACACAAATTCCTGGAAAAATGAGGGTAGAATCTGTGGAAGAGATTTTTCTTTATGTGATATTTACATATTTGGAAAATTTGGACCACTCCTTCATCCAAATGAGTTGTATCCAGTTCAAATCATCTGTTAAATCAGGGCAGGACTTGTGACATAAACTTCTATAAACTAAATACTTAAAATGCTTTGGATTTCATAAATACTAATTTAACAATTTTCCATTCAAACTATAACAAAATCAAACCTTAAGCAATGTTTGCTTAAGAAATAAAAATCTTTTTATATTATCTGATCTCTCCAAGGACACTATATAGAAATACATGAAGTTTAACTCAGTTTCAGACTTTTGAACACATATCATCATTTAAAAAAATGCCTAAAATAGGTTCTGCTAAGAGTAGACACTAAATAAATATGGACATGACAAAATATAACCATATAGACAGTGTCCAAAATTTTACAGTTAAAGGGAGAAGAACTTCCTGGGATAATGTCAAATATATGAGGTTATATCATTTATAAAATACGCTTCTTTAATTAACCAACAAAAATTCCATTTCTAATTTCTATGTGTCACTAGAATGTATTTAGAATTATATTCTTATAATACATTCTCAAATATTCTTGGCAATAAGCAGATTCAAAGTTACTTTGATTACACAAAAGGTTCCAATTACCTAAAAAAACATTAAGAATATAATTTTCTTAAAGCACTAATGCAAATAATTCTTTAGCTGTTACTAATTTTTTAGGATTAATAAGATATGTAAAATAGGAGACTGCAACTATAGTTATATTTTATACACATATATATATTTTATATACATATATATAGTTATATTTTTATACACATATTTTAGAACTCTTGCTCCCCCCACCAATATCCCAAGGACATAAACGTTAACAAAGAAGAGATATTTCTTAAATCACTTAATGCAAAGCTTCTATGAAGTGTTACTCAGAATCATAATGTGCCCTGAGACAGATGTCCCTCAGAGAAAGAAAATGCTATGTTAAACATATAAGAACAAATTTCTCTATTACAGGGATCATTGGGGCATTTAAAATAACATGTGAGTGTGATCTTCCAAAAGAGGATTATAGTTACAGTGTTACAAATTTATTTTATCAAAGTAGTCTTTCCAGGAAGATCTATTAAGTCTTGTTAGAAATTAGTGCTTAAGAGAGCTCAATCGAAAAAACACAGAATGGTAGAAAAGCCCTTAAATATGTATTCCCTACTTGGCTACATAAAATGAAGATCAGAAATTTAATAAATATCAGTTTCAATAATTAAAAAAAAAACAACTGAATAAAAAATAATATGACCCTTTTTTAAATTGTAAGAGACTCCTAGCATTCATTATAAAATCATCTCATGCTGAAAATTTAAAACAATGATTATAGATGTAAAATGATAAATTGGCTGAGTGCTAATTTCATTTGTATTTTAATCTTAAATATTATCCAAGTTAATTCACTGAGCATGAAGATATATAACTACAGATATTAGATATTTCAGATTGCAGTTAAAAATAAACACTTTAATTTTTAATGTAAGCTATTTAATTGTCTGAAATTAAATACCAGGTTAATTAGACTTTACACACATAGCCAAAATATTTTGGCTCACTGAACAGAACATAAAATAAACTGAGCATCATAATCACCAACACTGTATGTGCATGTATATACTAGTGAATGTGTGTATATATCCGGTAAGATAGAAATATTAGAATTCACTAATAAAGGTAGAAAAATAAGTTTTAAGAATTCAACTAAAATTTAGGCCAAATTTAGGAGCCTGAATTAGCACTATTATAATGGTTCTTTTAAGTAGGTTTTTTTCAAACTATAAATCAAATTCTTTTTAAAACACAGAATTTACAAAATACACAATGGCAAACAGTGATATAAAATTAATTTAGATGTTGTATGATATTTGTGATTGGAGAAGTATAGCTTATAGGTTTTAAATCCAGAAGTAATGAGAAATCACTTACCTCTAACTAAATTTCTCTGAAGGTAGTATCCTCCTTAGAACCCCTATCTTGGGTAGTTTCACCTGCTATAATTTCCCTCAAGAGATTGCAGCAAAGTCTAAGAAGTATTAAGTTCCCTTCTGCAAGTCGTATTAGTGCATGTTTGTTATAAACCTGTTCACATACTGCTTCATAGCTGTAACTTTCAATTCCCACTGAACCACCACCACCACCACCACCACCGATAACACTGGTGAAGGATACTGCCTTGGCAAATTTCATTTAGAATTCTGATACTGTTCACTTCTCCTAAAGTATCCTCCAAATTACTTCATTGCTGTGTCTATAATACACTCAACACAGTGGAGGCAAATCAGCAGGTAAATAATGACTAAGTTAAGTAATTATATTTGCTGAATGCTCAAATATAAAATCCCAACATAATAGCACCAAAAAACCTATCTTTCTCAATATTCAATTAATGTATAAAAAATTAAAATGAAAAAATCTTTCATAAAAAAATACCTTAATAGAGAAGGTAGAAAAAAATAGTTGCCATCACTGGGGACTGACTACCAAATACTTCCCTAGTATATTTTGTCAGAGAAATGCCAATACTTAAAAATTAGTTAAAAAATCAGTAATTAAAAGACAAACATTAATAATTTTTTGGTGGTTTTTTTTAGTACATTTCTACTTCAAACTGCCAAAATATAGTTCAAAAAAATAATAAATAAGACAAAATGAAAATGGAAAACAAAACTAGCTATCCAAATCAAGGTCAATTTAATAAACTAGAATGGCAATTTACAAAGGGTACTACTAAACATTTAACAAAAATTTTTGTTTTAAGTATTCAGGAAGCAGACTGTGAGAAGTTTTGGCAATAAGGAGACTTATCTCACACTATCAAGAAAAGATCTTTTACTTAGATACTGATTTTGAATTCCCATTGACTGATTCTAAAAATTCTTATTATTTCCCAATAGCTATTATAAAAGGAGGGGGGGGGGTGGGGGTGGGAAAGCAGGCCTGGTCTGGTGGCACACTCCTGTAACCCCAGTGACTTGGGAGTCTCAGACAAGAGAACCTGAAAGTCAAAGCCAGCTTCAGCAACTTAGTGAGGCCCTAAATAACTTAGTGAGACCATGTCTGTAAATAAAAAATATTTTAAAAAGGCTGGGGTTGTGGCTCAGTGGTTAAGCACTCCAGGGTTCAATCCCCGGTACTATTAAAAAAAAGAGAGAGAGAAGGAATCAATATCATAATAAATCAATAATCATAATAATCATAATAAAATACTAATAAATTTAAAAATCAATAATAATTTAGATGAGTATAGATAGTTCTGATTCTTCAAATATCTGGGCTTATACATATATTTTTAAAATAAATATTTAGAATGTGGATGTTTCTTAAAAAATTTGTTATTTGTCATAAAAACACAAGGTGTTATTTTTTCTAATATTTAAAATATACAGATCAAAACAAGTCCCCCTTGGGGCTGGGGTTGTGGCTAAGCAGTAGAGCTCGTGCCTAGCACATGGGAGGCCCTGGGTTCAATCCTCAGCACCACATAAAAATAAGTAAATAAAATAAAAATATTGTGTCCAACTACATCTAAAAAATAAATATTAAAAAAAAAAACAAGTCCCCCACCAAAAAGTACTTTCCAATGTAAAAAAGGGCTACAAAAATAACATTTATAAATTGTTGAGTGGTTAAAAAAGGATAAAGGTAAATCATCTAATTACCTATCAGAAAGAATAAAACACTGAGCCCTGAGGCAGTACATGGGCATTCACTTTCCCTCTTAATACATGCACTATTAGGACTCACTGAAGGATCAAATATCTTTTAGATCTTGCTATGTTAAATGCAGGAATGACTAACAACCCAAGAAGGTGTATCTAGGATGATACTTACCATATAAGAGATTATACCACTGTGCTATTATGTATTCTGTGTAAGGATACACAAGCAGTCAGCTGAAAGGTACACACCACACTAGCAAATGCTTGGCTGGACCCGTAAGGTCGGATGACCAATGGAATATCAAGATATGTGTCGATTCTCCAGCCCTCATAACCACATTCCAGACATCTCACGTAGTCCTTCAGCTTGCCTTGATATAGTTCATTTATAAGATCAGCCTAAAAATAAGAACATTTACAGTTTTAAAACTATTCTTTAACAGTAATTTTTAGGATACATGAATACACAACAATTCATGCCTTTTAGAATGAGTTACAAAAGGATACTGATTTTTAATAGTAAAGTCTTAAAAAAGCTCTAATGTAAGATTTATTCAATATCTTATAGAGAAAATTCAAGGCTTGACAAAAATCACCTAAAAATCAATAAAATTAGATCAATACTAATTTAAAAGTCAACTGCAAAAATTAACTATTTCAATACTCATAGCACTAAAACAACCAACTATTAAATTAGGTTTTGATGAAATCAGTTACCAATGCATTATCATATTCTCTTTTCATTAGGATGAGAATACATCCTAAACTACCACTTTAGGCATAATAATAATATTGTAGATAAATTCACTAGTAGTGTTTTATAGCTTCACATATTCATATTAATAATCTCACAATAATTACCTTCTGATTTATAAACTCATATTTCCTAGTTTCTGATACAAATAAAACTTCTTAATTTTCAATAACATAAAATAATTTAAAGGAGAAATATTATACATTAATGATATAAATGTCTAGAAATTTTTTAAAAAATTTAAAATTTATCTCCCTCACTATCCTCACCTAAAAGAATGAATCTCTCATCTAGTCCCCAAACATAGCCACTGGGGCTCTTCTGGCTTAAAATAGGCAGGTAACTCCCTGAGTAAGCACCCTCCATATGAATGTCTTCCTCTAGATATTTTTTTACCAAAACCTGGGAACTCAGGAGGAATGCCCGGTTGATCTTAATCGAAGTGGTGACCCACAGAGAGGGATGTAACAAGGAGGAAGGATAACTTCAGACCTATGAAGAAGAAAGAGTCCCTAATACCATTTACATAAAGTTACTAAAAAAGTCCCATAGGACTATATAGAGAAACTAAATTACTAAATGAACTTAAAATACTTTTTATTATCTCAAGCAAGAACAGATCAAAGAAAGTATAATATATTTTTTTCATAAATTTACATTTCTTAAAATGTCTAGGCCTATAAGCCTTCAAAACAAATACATTCTAAAGAAAATGTGATGTATATATACACAACAGACTATTGCTCAGCCATAAAAGAGAATGACTTGGGGCTGGAGTTGTGTGGCTCAGTGGTAGGGCGCTTGCTGGGCGTGTGTGAGGCACTGGGTTTTATCCTCAGCACCACTCAAAAAATAAATAAATAAAGGTATTGTGTCCATCTACAACTTAAAAAAAAAAATGACTTTGACTTTTGCTAGTAAATGGATGAATCTGGAGACTATCATCCTAAGTGAAATAAGTCAATTCCAAAAAACCAAAGGTCAAAATGTTCTCTCTGATATATGGATGCTAATACACAATTGGGGGACTACAAGAGTAGTGGATTAGACAAAGGGTAATGAAGGGAAAGGATGAGGGACAGGAATAGGAAAGACAGTAGAATGAATTGAACATAATTTTCCTATGTTCATTTATGAATACACCACCAGTGAAACTCCACATCGTTAGAATGGGATCCTAATTAGAATAAATTAATTGTTCATTATACTGTTTATTGCTATTTTTAATTAAGTTATACTCCATATAATATGTCAAAATACACTTTACTGTCATGTATATCCAAAAAGAACAAACAAACAAAAACAACAAAATGGATCCACCACTGCTGTCTATCATAATACTATTTACTTAATGAAGCTTTCTTCATTAACTTGTCTTAGTCATGTGATTATGCGTTTTGCACTTAGGAGGGTATTTTAAAGAGGTTCAAGCCAGTGTTTTTCGCACACCGGATACCAAATCACTATATAAGGAAACTGCTTATATCTCAACCTTGCACACAGAACTGTAACAAAGTTTTATAAAACAATACTTACCCTTATTTACTTATGTGATGCTCTCTTATACTTTCCTATTCTGTTCCATTTTTGAAAGTCCTGGAAGAGATTCCCTAAACTGACTTCATAACACATGAATGGATCATAATCTAGTGTTTGAAAGACTTCTAATCAGAAATCAGACTCTCCAAGCTACCTTATACACTCTCTTTTATCCCTGTAATACTTTTTTATGATAATAAAATACTTCCAGATACTGACTCCCGTTTAACTCAGACTCAGTCCTCATTCCAATGATATGTCTCATATGTTCTTCCCACTCCTAACCCACTTCTCTTTCCCCTGGATAAGATTAGGGACAGATCAATGAGGATCCTAAATGTCAAAAGCATGTCTAAGGCTGGGATTGTGGCTCAGCAGTAGAGGGTTCGCCTAGCAACTGCAAGGCCATGGGTTCGATCCTCAGCAACACATAAAAATAAATAAATAAATGTATTGTGTCCAACTACAATTAAAAAATAAATATTAACAAAGTGTATGTCTACACTTCATTGGTTAAAATGAAGGTAATGCTGAATGAATATATTTTAGAATGTTAGAGATTATAAAACATAATTTACTTAGTAAATATCTGGAAATAGGGTTCAAAATCACTCTTCCAAAATGTATATGTGTACATACATGTAAAGTATATGTGTGTATATGTGTGTGTGTGTGTGAATATATATATAAAAATTATATGATTTAGAGTTAAAGGAGACCTTCTTGATCATACAGCCCAATTTTCTTATTTTAAAATGAAGACAGTGAGGTCTAGGGTGGTTTATTGAAGATGTTTATAACTCAGTTGATAGCCAAAAGAGAAACTAGTAATTTCAATTCCACATTCAGTGCTCAACCACTGAACTAACTGCCCAAGTTTTAAAACATTCCAATGGAATAAAAATTACTTTAAACTAAAAAATGATTGATTAGAAAAAGGTCTCTTAATTTCAGAGAGAGGAATTACCTGTTCTGTTTGCTTCCATTTCTGTTCCAAAGCATCAAACATGACTCGGCATAGTTCTTGTACGTCATGCTGCTGCCAAGCTATTTAAGGAAAAAAAATTAATTAAAAATAGCAATAAACAGTATAATGAACAATTAATTTATTCTTTAAAAACAAATAGGCCGGGGCTGGGGTTGTGGCTCAGTGACAGAGTGCTTGCCTTGCTTGTGCGAGGTGCTGGGTTCAATTCTCAGCACCACATATAAATAAATAAAATAAAGGTCCATCGACAAATAAAAAAATATTTTTTTAAAAAACAATAGGCTGAAATATAGAAATGTCTACTTTAAAAAATGTTAAATTTTATAACACAAAAATACACATTATAGTCACGAGAAGACAATCATAAAGAAAAGAATCAAGAGATCTCAGTATTTCATAAATAGTATAAACTTTCTGGTGCTATAATATTTGTTATTTTTTATTGCAGAGCTAAGAAATGTATTAGAAAAAACTCTACAGCAAAAATCTTCAAAATTTCTAGTTTAAGTTGACAAAAATGGGGTGTAAACTTATTTTATAAGAGAATTTGATTGACCAAAAATTTACCCCTCAGAGCTTAACCATTTAAAAACAAGTTGCTTTAAAATCCCAGCAAAAATGAGAAGGCTTAAAGTAAAGAAAATCAAGTTGTTATTATATATATGTGTAATATTTTTGTCCTCCAGAATTCCTCTGAATATTAGAAATACTCATTATATTACAAGAGAATAAGTACCCTCACTACTATCCCATCCAAAGCTCCTTGTAACGTCTGTGGTTTCAATTGCTCTTTTTTTGCTTGTTTGTAACAAAACAAAAAGCCTTTGAAGTTGGTATGGGATACTTGTCACTGGATCTTCTTCAGATTCTTCAAATTCCCATCTATTAAAATAAAATATTTGAAAATTATTTATAAAATAATTTTGTTTTTTTAAAAGCATAATATCAAAATCACAGTTATATAAGATCTTAATTCTAGAAGATAATACAGTTTGAATATAATCTGAAACTAATAATATCTAATGAAACATTAGTCTTTCTCTAATTTATAAATTCAGAACTTTAGACATTAACAAGAAAAATCATGAGTTGGCAACAGCTTAAGAATGAGAGGCAAAACTCACATAAAAGTTAACTGTCAAACTTGAACTGATTTAAACTCTTGTCCTAGTTATTAATTTACAAAAAATGCAGAATGATATTAAATGACTTGAAAGTATACAATCATCAAAGCCCAAACTGTGGAAAAATTATAGGTCAAAAAACATCAGTTTTCAATACATAAATTCGGAAGATGGAAGGGGTTTTTTAAAAGATTAAACAGATTAGGAATCTAATCAATCAATTGCAATGTACGAATCTTGTTTGGATCCAGATTTTAACAAGTTGTTAAAAAAAATGGAGGCAATCAGGGAAATGTTCACTGAACTGTGATATAATTTGCAGAAGATACAATAGGAATGGGCCTTCCAAATAATCATTGTAGGAGGTTATAAATAAAAAAATTACAAATTGATAATATTCAAAGCTGGGTAATGGGCATAGAGATTCACTATACTATTTCCCTATTTTTGAATGTTTGATAATTTCCAAATTAAATTTTTTAAAAAGGGAATACTGTATAAATAAATAAAATAATCCAGATAAGATTTTTTTTTAAAATTTAAATCTATTTTCCAGTTGTAGTTGGACACAACACCTTTATTTTATTTATTTATTTTTATGTGGTGCTGAGGACTGAACTCGGGGCCTTGCACATGCTAAGCGAGCTCTCTACCGCTGAGCCACAACCCCAGCCCTCAGGTAAGATTTTTACGCTCACAAATTTATAAATGGTCATTCATTCCTGGACAGGGACTGTCTCAATAGCAAGTGAACTGAACCAAAGAACTTAAGATCTCATGATAGAAATAAGATTGGGGGACTAAAGTTGGTTACTGTACTCACGAAAGTTCTCAAGATGATTCTATATTCAATAAGACAATGAAAGCAAAGTATTAAGAACAATATTAATGATATTGTAGATCTTAAATTAGCAATAAATTATTTTTGTACTTTCCACTCTCTTACTTTTTAGTTTCAAAAGAGTGCTTGAGCATTAATTTTTCTTGGTTACAGTTTACAAACTTTTTCAATTTTGAAAAAACACAGTCCTCTAATAAAAGTGTTCAACATTTTTCTTACTTTAGGAGTTAAAAAATTAGCTGTGATCTTGCCCATTGTGTCACAGAAAACACTGAAGTGTGTTTCACTTTTTCTTCTCAAGGCTTCCTGCAAACACCTCTACCCCAAATCACATCTGCTTTAACCCTCTCCCCCGCTTCTATATTTAATCCCCACCTCCCTTTCCTTCTGGTTATCCTCAATGGAAAGTATTTAGAATTGACACTGTGGAATCTAAAATTCTCTCACCAGCTCTAAGGGATCACTGAAATTACAGAGAATGGTTAAATTTCTTGTAAGGAAAATTCACTAGAGAAGAGGAATTACTGTAATATAAAACTGAATTCTTATCTGTCCTTTTATTTCTGTACAAATACCTTAAAAAGTTTTAAATCTTGCCATTACTTCTGGTTATCTAAAGTTAGAAACTTTGGTGCCACATTTGATTCTTCCCTTTCCTTTACTACTAATTAAAGTTTATTACTAAGTCATATCTGTTTTCACTAATCATAATGTAACCACTGAGCCCATCATCATTCTGACTCTGATGCATCTATGCCTGGTTAAATGGCAGATCTCTCCAGAGCTCTCTTTCAAATCAATCTTTCACAATGCACCATGTAAATTTTCCTATAATGATGTATCTAACACATCACAAGCCTCTAAATCAAAACTGAAGGGTCTCTGTTGGCCAATACAGAACAAGAGAAAACAAACAAAACTATCCCTTCATACTAGCCCTACTCTGTGTAATTCAGCAAGGTCCTCAGTTCTACTTTACGAAACAACATCATTGCTCTAAGGAATAGTTTTGCCACTTGCTATACTTCACTCTATTCTACCTCCAAGGCATGTAGCCTTTCTCTTTGACTTTATGTTCATGTTCCAACACCCCCCACACCCACTATTACGCTCCATTCATAATAGATTATTTTGGTTCCTACAAGGCCCAGGATCTTTACAGGGCCATCTCCTGTGAAGGCTAGTTACATGGTATTTCCCTTCTTAACTTCCTACTCAAAGTTGTGACCAACTCCAACCCCTGTGACCTCCTGACAGTTATTCTCTCCAAATTACTCTTGCTTTATATATCTTCATGGCATACAAGACAGTGTAAAATGAGCTATTTATTATTTACATAGATTTACCAAAGACAGCTCCAAAGGAGGGACTTTGTCTTATTCAACACTGTCATCTCTGTGCCTAATAGAATGCTTTGCACATAACTATGTTTGCTGAATAAACAGCCCTGGCTGTGCTCCTATTTTTCTCCACAGTGCTATAATTTCACAGACCATTTTAAGGGTATTAGAACTCATAATTAAACAAGCTTCTGGGATTCCCTAGGGCAAAGTACTTAACCCTTCAGTGCCTTCAGTTACTTTCTTTGTAAAATGGGGGTAAAAACAGCACATAATTCATAGTTAATTATGAGAACTAAGTCTGTAAATAATATAATAAAGTACTCAGAATAGTCCTGATATAACATTTATTATTAACTTATTACTCACTTTTGAAAATCTTCCTGTCTGCAATGTCCTCTTTCTTCTCAATCTGGCCAAACCATAGCTAGTTTCATGATCTACTTCAAGTTCTACATTAAGCCACATCAAGTTTCATTAATCTCTCTTCCCTCTAAATTCTCATGGCCTTTAGCTGTCCTTAAATGTTATTTAAACTGTTTCACAAATACAAATATTGCTATTGTGGAAAGATCTGTAAATTACTCAAAAATAAAGATTTATTTTGAACTCCCTTCTCTGCCAAGTGCCCCATGAATAAATATTACTGGGCAATAAGTACATGTCAAAATTTTACAAGTAAATTAAAGTGACAAGATTACTGGTAATATAACGTTTAAGCAATACAGCCAATAGTAATAAAAGTTTTAAAAGTAATTCAACTACAAATTGCCATAATTTCAAAGATGTTTCTCAAAAGTAATACAAAAAGGAAAAGTTCATTTATTCATACTTTAAAAAATTAGTTATATATATCTTGAAGAAAATATACAAAGCAAAGGTATATTAAATGTATTACAGTAGGATATTATTTAATCTGATGTAATCTTTTAGAAACACAGAGAGACCCTTATTTACAATAAGATTTAAAAAACAGGGGTGGGGTTGTGGCTCAGTGGCAGAGCACTTGCCTCGCACATGTTAGATCCTCAGAACCACATGAAAATAAATAAACAAAATAAAGATATTTTTTTAAAAGAAAGAAACGTTCTCCAGAATAAATGAGTTCTTTTTTTTAAAAAAAAGAAAAGAGTTGGGAAAAAATGAGGGATGTAGCTCAGTGGTAGAGTGCTGGCCTAGTATGCAATGGGTGCTAGATTCAACTGCAGTGCTGAGGCACACATGAAAAGAATGCCGTGTTTTATTTTAATTAGAAACAAAGCCTACAAATTAAAACTAATCCTTGAATTCTTAAATTGAAAGGTAAAAAAATAATAAGTGTATGCATTATATATTCAAATTCTTTCAAAAGCCGATTAACCTATTTACTTCTTCATAAAAATGTTACAGCTACCAGCAAGATGCCTAAATTTTACCTAAATATCCTACTACCCTAAATTTTATCCTTTTGTTGCCTGTACATTTCTGATTCTTTCTCCCCAAACATTTCACAAGCCAGTCTTTCACAAGATCCTTTTCCCTTTATAATATTCAAGAAGTTGCAACTTAAAAAGTAAGAAATGCTCCACTCATGCTAACTAAAATAAGCCAATCCCCAAAAAACGAAAAGCCAAATGTTCTCTCTGATATTTGGGTACTAACATACAACAAGAGGATGGGGAGGGAAGAATAGAAGTTCATTGGATTAGACAAAGGGGAATGAAGAGAAGGGAGGAGGGATGGGAATGGGAAAGATAGTAGAATGATTCAGCTATAACTTTCCTATGTTCATATATGAATACATGACCAGTATAACTGTACATCATCTACAATCACAAGAATGGGAAGTTATACTCCATGTATGTATAACAGGTCAAAATACATTCTACTGTCATGTATAACTAAAAAGAACAAACAAAAAATTATTTTAAAAAGGGAGAAGTGCTCCAAACTTTACAAATAAATACAAGAAGTTAAATTAAAATTAGTTAAAAACCATGTATTCCTTCTTATATCAAGTTTACTTACAAAATAGTTTTAAATACTCACTTATATAATGCATTCCTAAATTCAGGAGTCATAAAAAGTGTTTGCAAAAGGCTATTCAAATAGCATGTCATTGCCTGGTTTACTAATCCCACATATCCTTTGAAAAGAAAACACAAACATATATATATATATATATAAAAATTAGCATTTAGACTAAAAATAACAAGAGAAAACAATATGAATTTACAACATAATAAAAATTCAGAGTTTAGGGTTACTCAATTGGAAATTATCTCCATTTTTTTCCAGTAGCACCTAATAAAGATCCCTTTTCTAATATGTGAGCTATGTAAACCTTGTTTCTTAGAAGGCACTCTTTTTATAGATATGTTCAAAGAGAGAGAGAGCGAGATAAGTAGATAGATAGATGAATATTACATGGTATTCAATAAAATTTTAACATAGCATGATTTATTAGCATAGAAATAATATTCCCCAAACCTAAAAACTGTAGATTAAAATGGAAAAGTATAAACACATTCACTTTAAATATACACTCCCAACATAGGAAGACTGTACTGATTCAATTATTCTTGTTATCAGCCCTATAAACCAATTTCTACAACGAATTAACAACAGACCGCATACATTCATTACATGCTAACCCACAAAAGCTGAGACTCTTAATGCAGAGTGACTTTCTCTATTTTAACAAGCTCATCAAGTATGAAATTGTATCAGTCAGTAAGCATGCTATCCTATGCAGTGATTCAGATCCTTACCAGATGCATTTGTAGAACTCTATGATAACAAGAAGCTATCTACCTTTTGCTAAGGTTCAAGCTTTGATTTCTTATGCCTTTCATCTTTAAGAACTGAGTACAAGAGTTCATGTATTTTGCCCTATGCTATTACATAATTATAAACTGCTTCAATTCCAGACCACCCCAACCAAGTTGTTCTCATAGAACTGTCTGTCTTTATTCCATATTAGAATCTTTATTGTACTGTTCTGTAATTTTTTATTTATGTCTTCCCCCATCAGACTACAAGAGCAGGGGTCAAATCTGATTTTTTTCTTTCTCTACTACTAATAAACACAGCAGCAGATGCACATGAGGGAGCAGCATGACTTACAAGTAACATAAATTTGTATGATATTTGGCTTATTTGTTAATAATGAAAAGCATTATTTCATTCTTAGTTCATATAAACAGACTCTTCTCCATAAACAGTGATCTGGCCTGGAAACTGGGTTGCTCCTCCTTCTCAGCTGAGTCTGCCTGGGATTTCCCTTCTCTATCTCCTTCCAGTTCCTCAACATTCAGGGATGGTCAAATTACTGGGAGCCTTAAAAGGTAAATGAATAATACAATCCCTTGTGTACCTAAAGACCAAACATGCACCACTAATTTGTGACCTGGTTTCCCTTTCATGTGCTTAAAACAACATGGTAAAGGGAGGAGGGGAGACTGACAGAAGGTAGTACCATCAATTAAATTTTGCCATGAGCAATAAAAACCACATAGAAAGGTCCTTTGTACTTGTCTTAGCACCACATTTAAACAAAAGGAAAAGTATGTCTCATAATTGTACTATTTCCTCAAAGTTTGAAATTCTAGTGAGACTAATAAAAATACCAAAGAATTTTATATGAATCTTGTCATTATGTATTGTCTAAATCAAACTTAAAGTGACCACTATCATTAAGTGGTTTCTATAGCTGAAATAACCGTAAATCAATATTTTTACTATAAGCTAGTAAGAAGGAAGAATGTGAGAACATATGCCATCCTGTAGAAAGACAAAGGGGAATCCTATACAGAACCAACTAAGGAAGGAGAAAGCAAACAAGGCTAGCTTCTAGAGTAGGAAAAAGAGAACTGTTAAGACATATATCATGAACTTAAAGATTTTAATCATGTGTGAATTAGAGACTTATCTAAGAAACTGACCAAAAACACTCAGACTTAAAGTTTCTAATCACTTGTGAATCCACACCAAACTTAGCCCCCAAATTTACATTCTCATAGTCTCCTATCAACAGTGGTTGGCTAAAAGAAGGAGGTGGCAAGCAAAGAGGACAGGGACGTATACATTAAGTTCTCAACTCCCTTGCAACTTTGAGAAATGTGTTCCTAGAGCCCTGAGCTGAAATCATGATGTAAACATTTCATAAATGGTGCCAAGATTTATAATAATTTCTTCAGGGAAATCCAAATTCAATAGTGACTAACAAAATAACTTTTGAACAACAACCCCTTTGGATACTTAGAGACTATTTTAATTCAGAAAGGCAGCACCCAGAGGAAATGTACAAGTAGGGAAAGGGAATGAAATAGAGGTATGTGAGGAAAAGTAAAGGTATGTGAAGATGAAGATAGACGGATATTACATGGCAATTTATATCAAAAGTTTATTAAAAATTTTAATAAATTTCAACTTAATTCAATTGCTTAATAATATTTTCTATGGAAATAATCAGAGATGAAAATTAAAACTTAAATATAAGAATTCTTATTCCATAAGCAATAGATCAAATAAATACTACTTTTAGCCTATTAAACACTATATTAAAATAATATTTAATAGCATTGAAAAATGCTATTTGAAAAGTGAAAAAATTTACATTAAAAATCTGCTCAACGTGACTCCCATTTTCTTAAAAAGTATACATATGAAGGCTATGTAAAAATAAGCAAGATCACTAAAAGTGGTTGCTGCTAGTGGTGCTGTCAGTGATTTTTACTCTTTTCATTTTACAGCATGACAATAACATGCATTACATTTGTACAAAGAACACTTTTTAAAAATACACCTTAATCTTAAAGGAATTTACAGGCCACGAGAGAGCCACAGGAAGTTAAACCTGGTACAACAGTGTTCTATAAATACTTCTCATAAAAGGACACAATCAGTTGTCAAAATACACAACAAATATTTCAAAATACTGATTTGTTAAACCTGCAACTTTATCAAAGCATTCCTACTATCTCAGAATAATCTAGGGTACTTATTTAAAACAAAATGAAATTTCTTCCTATTTCTGAGCTGTCACATCAGAATTTTGGGAAGTAATATCTTGAAACCTACATTTCTAACAAGTATCCCATAAAATGATTTTTGAAGAAATAAAAATCTGAGAATGTAGATAGCATAATGGAAAACAATTTTATTATCTCTTATTATCTGAAATGGAAGATAATTTTGTATTCCCTTATTCTTGGTGGTATATGATGAAACATTCAACTGATACAAATTACCCCAAATACCAAACATCAAAGGCTTTTATTATACTTCCAGGAAAAGCAAGCTATTAAGCCTACAAAATGTTGAGTTATGAAGAAATTATGTTAATTATACAATACAGTAAATGAAAGTTTATAGATCACCTTAAAACAAAAACTGCAAAGTAATTCTATAGTATTTTTCATAGTAAGTATTTACTAATACAGTATTTTAAACCATCAATTTTGGAGTTCTTTACTAGTAAAGATTCTGAAGCCATATCTAGAATGAAATGCCATTAACTAGCTATGCAAAGGCTTCTCTGAACCCCAACTTCTGTTTTTTTCAATATGAAAATACTATCTACTAAAAATGTTCATTGAAAGATGAAATATGTTAAAGTATCTAGATTACATTCACTATGCAATTAACCAACCTCAAATATAAAAAATGAATAAAACTTTTATATAAATAAAGCAATTTCACTAGCTCTGTAATTTGAAAAAATTCAGAAATTTGGTTAAAACATGTTTAGAAACAAAGCTAACAGAAAGTTTTAAATGATGTGAATCATTTCAAACATGATTTAACTACAAGATACAACAGACCCAGTAAAATAAACATGGCCCATCTGCTTCAAAATGAAAGTATACTCCTGAGTCTATTCTAATCTAAAATAAGATAATAAAGACTTCCAATTCCAGATAAAGTCAACTTTTTACTAAATAGAGGTGTAACAATATAGTAAAAACATGTTGTCCACATTACTGAGTTGAGGGAAAAGAAAACCATATTCTTGTTCAAACTTTGCTTGCCCATAAAATGAGAAGATTAGGCTTGAAATTACAAAGACTACTCAAAGTCTAATGTCCAAGGATTTTATGAAACTACAACAACAATAATAAATCTTACCAGTTTCTGATTTATTCAAAATAGATGAATAGGAGTAGCTTTGACTGACATAATCACTGGTGGAACCAACAGAACCTTCTCTTGGAAGTGGACCTATAAACCTGTCATGAACGCTGTCATCCATGTTATTGGAATCCTCCTAAAAGGCAGCATAAGCAATATTTAGTGAATAATAAATGTACTGAAACATTAAAAAAAAGACATACTAATTGCTGAGGCAATTAAAAAAAAAAAGATGCAACATTACTATTACTGTTCCAATCAAGACATTCAAAGAAGTGTACACACTCATTTCCAATAATGTTTAGAAGATGTTTGAAATAAAACCCTTTGGAAAGGTGTTCATGTTCCTTTCCAAATAGTGCTTACTTTCTAAATTTTTTAAAGTTCTTGTTCAAATGTTCTGTTTACACAAGAAAATAAATTTTGGGTGCTAATAGAACAAAAGTACCACTGTGAACTCCTTGATGACAGAGTCTACCATTCATTTTTACATCGTTACCAGTTAGGCCTCACAGGCAGGGGATGCTTAGTAATTGTTGGATGAGATGGAGTAACCCCACGTCTTCTAACAACAAACTTTCTATTAACGTGGAAGATGTTGAAAAGGATTAATGAATAAAAACAGCAAAGAAATTAAGACAGAATTGAAGAATAATTCTACATATTAAAACATGAATCCTCAAATTGTGAATCTAGAAATCTCTAAATTAATAGCTAATTTAGACTTCGGTATCACTCATACTAATCAAAATTTCATTATGCCAAGAAAATAAATGGAGATTAAGAAACAGCTTTCAGTATGGATGTACTCTGTTTAATTACGATCTATCATCCAAAAATAAGTTTTTATTCCAAAGAGGATTCTAAATGAAAAGCGTCCAATAGAACAATTTTTCCTGAGCAAAGCTGTACTGAAAAAAAAAAAAAAAAAAAGCTCTTAATCCATAAATTCTGAGCCTTGCTTTCCTGGTATGTGAAAGAGTAAGTTAAATCAGACAAGACTTTCTTAATCGTTTTTAAACTCACATCCTCTACAACATATTCTTACCCCACATACATGTAACTATCCAATAAGATTTACTTTCCATAGTTTTTAGTTTCCCCCAATGCCTTCAGATATCAGAACTCTGAGAAAATACATCTCAAAGTGGGAGTTATTAGAATAAACACTACAGGACGAGGCAGAAAAGCTTATTAAAATAAATGTAAATTGGGGTAAACACTAAATGAATATATAGAAACAAAGCATCAAACTTATATATTACAAAGAAGGCAATGGGATTGCGAGGCATGGGGAAGTGGAAATAGAATCAGCCTCACACACACACACAAATGACAAACACTGACAATGATTTATAAGAACCAAGTGAATGCTTAACCAAAGGAAAGGCCATTGAAATGCAGGAAATCTTTGTAGCATTCGTTTTAACTTATTCTAGACCTACTCCCATCTCTGATGTGACAGTGGTGTTGAAGACAGCAACCCATGTTTACCTGAATATGGCAACAGACTGTTTATACAAACAATGGTGCCATGGATATTCAGAGCCTACAGCAAACCAACATAAAATAATAATTTTTAATACAAATTATAAAACATCTTTCCTCCTTCCTTTGGAAAATTGCATTCCAAAATAGTAGGTGACAGTGACAAAAAAAAAACTATGAATATGGGTTTTATAAGTAGCTCACCAGCAGTATTTGAGGTTGTTCACCATCTTTATCTGTCAAATGCAGAAAGTTCTTCTTTCCTGGCTCAAAATTAGCATCAAGAAGAGACTTGTCACTGGCATGATCCAGTGGAGCCTACAGGCATAAAACACAGTATCTAAGATTATGAGAAACATTACTTATAACAATAAAAAAATATATAAATGCATACATATATACATTTAAACAGTATTTTTTCAGTAATGATTCTGTCAAATTTCTGTTCATGTAGTCTTGGAATTAACTCATCCACTCATAAACTGGGATGGCTAAGCCCAGTGACAGTGCATACACTGGCAGTTATCCCAAAGGCTCACATTCCCCAACATCTAAAAAACTGAAGATAGAAAAGGTAAAGTAAGAAAAAATGCTAAGTACCACACACACACACACACACAAAATCTACAAACATTCTATTTCCATGTTCTTTAAAATGTATGCTATATCATTTTGATGAAAATTAAGATAATTTTATGTAACTATAAATGTTTTGATGTAAAAGTAGTGAGAATTCCCAGATAAGCTACACACTTAAAAACCCAATCAAAATAATTAAAAAGTAACCAATGCAATATAATCTTCAGAAAGAGCCCTTAAGACAGGAAGATTCCAAGTTCAAGGCCAGCCTGAGTGAGTTAGCAAGACCTGGTCTCAAAATAAAATGGGAAAGAAAACAGGGGTGGGGGTGTGGGGCTAGAGATATAGCTCAGTGGTAAAGAACTTGCCTAGCATGTGCAAGACCCTAGGTTCAATCCCCAGTATTGCAGAAAAAGAAAAAGAAAAAAGAAAAGATGAATCAGAAACATCAAACAGTTTTGACTCTTCTGAGGAACCAATTAAAATTATGCCCTCCAAATACCATGGGGATATGCATGTATACACAATTTCATTTGCTATTAAGAGGCAGTTTCCCAGAAAACAGAACAACAATGACACAGGATATGAAAGGGTAATATAAGCAAAAATGAGAATGAAAATATATGGAAATTTGTGTTAAAAAGTTAGTTTAATATCTGGGAGTTACCAAAGATTTAAGGATCAATCACAGCTTGTCTTAAACTCAAGGAATCTGATTTTTAAACAATAGGCAGTGAGCAATGGTTGAAGGCTTTTGAACTAAAAAGTTAACATTAGTGTTATGATTTAAGATAACTGCAGGTCTTACCCTCTAATATGCAGGGTAAAATCAAACTGAGAGACAGGAACCAAAAAGACTATTTAGAATACAATTCTATAATGCAAATGAGATCCAATTCAAAAGTCTCTTTCACAACTCTCCCATGCAAAACTGATCAGTCTTTGCTATGATATGAATGCTTATCTCTCCAAAGCTCATTTGTAGAAACTTAATTTCTAAATATATTAAGAGTTGGGGCCTTTATGTCTTGAAGGTGAAGCCCTCATGAATGGGATTAGTTCCCTTATCAAAATGGCCCAAGGAAAGATGTCTATCAAGAGTTCTAGGATTTTTTTCTTCTTTTTTAGTAGTTACAATTATTTATTTTCATAGTAAAAATGAATATAGGATCGAATCAAATGGTGACCTACATGTGTGTCTAGAAATATTCCTCCTCTAAACTCCATGCAATATCAAAAAGTAGTTTTTTAAAGAAAAATCTACCAGCAGAGCAGGAAAATAAAAAGTGTCATTAGCAAACCAGAAGTTCTGAGACATTAAAAAACAGAAAGAAGATGGGATCTATGGAAAAACAACACTAAAGGAAACCGTGGCCCAAAATGCCTATAGAAAACTACCGTGGAGATAAAGGTGGTAGAGAACTGTAGACTAAGGTGAAAATGTACAGGCCAAAGAAGCATCAGAGTGAGCAATTGGGAAAAGGCTTTCTGATCAGCTTAGCCTCTCTTCTTTACCTCCTTTGGCTAAGGGACAGACAGTACCTTTTCCCTTTATCTGTCAGAGTCAAGCATGGGCCTTTTGCCAGTAGGACAGAGCAGTGCTATCCAGCTAGGTACTGATCACCTCTCAAAACCACAGTCAGAACAAGTTGATTCCAGGACAAATTATAAACACACCATAGCCTGCAGCATGTCCCACCCCTTCCTCACAAAACCCAGAAACTGAACATAGTACATTATTAAACAGCATCCATACAGAAGTTAACAAAGACTCTCAAATATAAAGATGAGTAGAAAACAAGAACCACTAAACATCAGAGGAAATGCTACATTATGAAAGAAGTAAATTAAGTACAATAAATAAAGATAAATAATTAAGGAAATAGTTAACAGAACAAGTAGAAGATTGAAATAAGGAAACATACTGTGAAATATACCTGAGTGTACAGCAGCCAATAAAGAAATGATTTTGAGCTTGAAAGTTAAAATCAAAAGCTACACATGTTCATACAGAAAAATAAACATTTTAAAGTTACCCAGAAATATACATAGATACATAAATAAAAAAATAAAAATCACCTAGAAATAACCTTTCTTAACAATGGGTTATATATATCCTTACACTTCTTTCTTTTTCTATGTACATTTTTCCTTTTATTTAAAACATAGGATCACAAAATACATATTTTATTTAAAAATACAAAATGAACATCATTCCATTTAGTAAATTTTTCTTTAGTTGACACAATATTATGATAGTCACCTTTCATGAGTGAAAAAACTGATGACATGACATTATGCAAACTTTAGGACAACAAATGTTGAATCCAGAATGGAGGCAAAGGGAAGAAGAGGGATCCAGTTATTGACTTCCACACACTTTTAACTGCAGCTGTTATACTTGTGCTTATGATATTAAAGATACCATTAATATCCAGGACTTATGAAATCATTAGTGACAACAATAATAATGGCTATAATGACATTATCAGCAGCTTAAGAGTAGATGCTTTAAGTCTGGGGTTTTACCATATCAGCAGTATTGACTCCATTTCCCCACACCAAATCAAAGGTTCCATTTATGTAGCCTACTTTGTTGGCCACATCTTCAAAGAGCTTTCTGACTGGAGTAGACGCTGGTAAATTTAAAGTGATCCGTTCATTCACTGTCTTTGAATTAGTAGTATCTTGTATTATACATAAGACTCTAGGTTCTTCAGCAGCATTTTCTATCTGAAATTAAAAAAAAAAAAATTTAAATACCATTTATCTTTAAAGAAATATAACCATAATATCAAAAAAATCTTTCATGAGTAAATGTCAAAGAACCCACAAAATAGGAATTACTTTCTCTGTACTAGTATTATTACTTTTTTAAAATTAGGCCTGAAACATCTTCCAATTGATATGTCAAACATATAAGCACCACAGATGTTAATTTTGGAAAACCTAAGGCATATTTCAGAATCGAAAGTCATTCTTCTGTATATCTGCTTTTACCTTTCAAGTTTGTAAAGTGATGGTCAACAAGCTGTGACTATCTTAAGTTACAAATTATAAAATCTGATCTTTAAAAATGTGTCATTACCAGGCCAACAGTCAAACCCAGCATTTCTGGGTCTCCTGAAGAAAAGGAAAGTGTCCGTTGTCTAAATATTACAAAATCCTCTAACCTTTTAGGCTGCTATATCATATTCCACATGTCCAAAAAGCCCCACATATCAATGTGTTAGGAGCTGAACTTATTGAAACAAATCAGCAAGAAGTAACGGGAGGGAAAAACAAGGGAAAAAAATCTTTTCAATTGCCAATCTGGAAATGAATTAGGGTCACAAGTTTTCCTTTCTCCTTTTTCATCTAGTGTATTCATCTAGTATTTCATCTAGTGTATTCAGTAATTATTAAGACAAAGTTATTTAATAAAAGGAGTTTCCCAAAGAAATTATGCCCATCCTTAAGAACTTGCAAAACAGTCTTCTTTCTACTTTCCACAGGGGTAGTGATTACATCAAATACTTGAGTAAAGGAATTTCTTTCTAACACCTAGCTGTTTGAAACAGAAAGCTGGGCTGAGCATCAGTCTCACTCCTCTTTTTCACCTGACACTACCATCAAATCCTATCAATTCTACCTTCTAGATATCCCTTGAACTTCTCCTGCTCTTTATTCCTGCCTACAACAATCAGAATATCTTACACCTAAATTATGACAATGGGTTTCTGAGAAGTTTAATTTCTTCCAATCTAATATTTCTTCAATCCTAAAGAGTATTCTAATATACAAATCTGGTGAAGTAGATCTCTTACTTTTCCTGAAAGTCAGGAGCAGCAATCGTTTAACTAGAGGCATTAAACTGACAAATACCATCATAGGCCATTCAGAAATATGATCTAGATGTATGTAAGACTTCCTTTTTTTTAACAACAAAATCAACTCCAACCTCCTGTTGCTTCTATATTATCCATTTTAAAATAAAAATAATTATTACTATTGACTAGTACTAAAAACAGGTTAGTCACAAGGTGTTTAGTTTGCTCAGTGAAATAAAACAACCATAATTTGTTTCTGCAAAATAATTTGGGGTTTGCAAAGGATATGTAAATTAAGGTTAATCCAATTAATTTAAAATAGAAATTAGTTGCTATAAAAGGATAATATTTGAAACAGATTGGCTAGCACTACATTTCAGACAAATCAAAATATTTAATTACCAATAATAACTCTTTTAAAAATGAAAAGGAAAAACACATTTCTGAAAATTAAGAACATAAATGGAGCTTTTAAAAATAATCTCTGGTCTACACTAAAGGAATGGAAAACTCAATTATTTCAACTACCAAAGATCCATTTTTATAGTTCCAATAGTAAACTTCAGAGGTAAGTTAGGTTTGAATGATTTAAGTGATTTTTGGTATAAAATACTGCACTAGCTAGATTTTAAAGCTTCAGATGGGCTTGAGTTAATTGTCCAAAGAAGATGACTTTACTTAAAAATTCAGAAATTAAAAGTGCTGTATAGTAATAGACATAACAACAGTCATGTGGCAACATCATGTGGCCAGATATTGCCAGTTCCTGGTTCTTTCTCTAAATATGTAAGTGCAAAGCACTCCAAACTTCTTTTCTTATATCTAAACACGTAAGGAGCTAAACCCCCAACAGAATCCCACCTGAAGACTAAACATGCTGTAAGTAAACACAAAATTTAATATTATGTGTCCTTTATTCTTTAAAAAAAAATGACTATAGCTTTCTTTTCTATACATATATTTATGCTCAGTTTTTTAAAACTAATAAGACTATATACAGGGGGGCTGGGTTGTAGTTCAGTGGTGGAACGCTAGTCCAGCACGTGCAAGGTACTGGGTTCGATCCTCAACACCACATTAAAAAAAATAAAGGTATTGTGTCCAATTACAACTAAAAAAATTTAAAAAAAAAAAGATTACACAGGAAAATATGGAAATCCCCAGTAATTCCATAACTCAACACATACACACACACACATACATGCAGGCTTCTTAAACATAAACAATGAATTAGAATCTTCATGTTGTTTTCCAACTTCCAGTCTTGTCAGGTCTAACTCATTCTTTTAATAGCTGAATAGTATTTTAATAGTATTTTTTAATACATGAATCAATAATAATTTACTTAATTTTATTTCCATGGGTCTTAGGTTAGACTTTTTTTATATACTCCTAAAAAATAATTCTATGATGAATGCCTACATAAAACTTTGCATAGTTTCTGTTTCCATATGTAAAATTTCTGGACCAATCACATTTATTCTTGAATTCAATTCTAATATAATTTAAACAAATAAACAAAAGGCACTTCCTTAAAGTTCTAGTCTAGCCACTTTTAACAATAACTTTATACTCAACCTTCTGGTCCATTCTTTATTTCACCTATAATTAAATCTAATATGTGGCTACCATTCATAGATTTCATCTAACTTCCAGAATCACTTTTGCCTACACTAATCACACTGAGGTGAAATTTCCTCCTTCGGGGCTGGGGTTATGGCTCAGCGGTAGAGTGCTTGCCTCTCATGCGTGAGACCCTAGGTTTAAACCTCAGCACCACATAAAAATAGATAAATAAATAGATATTCTGTCCATCTACAACTAAAAAATGAATATTAAAAAAAATTTCCTCCTTCCCCAACTCCAATTTGGGAACTGATAAAGGGAAAAAAAAAAACACCCTCTACAATATAACTTTCTAAAACATTTAAATGGAAAAGGTATTTCTTAGAATTGGGAAAATAGGGCAACAACATACATACATACATATATATATATATATATATATATGTGTGTGTGTGTGTGTGTGTGTGTGTGTGTATATATATATATACATATATATATTTTTCCCCCCTTTCTCTTCAGGGTGATTACAGATGGTGAAAAATTTTTTGCTATTCTCTTCCCTCTTCTCATGAATCTGGACTGGCAGGGTGAACATCTAGGACCCTTAGAATGTGACAAAAAATGATACTGTGTAACTTGAGGCAGGGCCTTCAGAGAAACCAGTAACTTTGCTTTTGTACTTCTTGAAACCTTCCCTCTTATAAACCAGTCAGCACTTAAAAAATCCAATTGCTCTGGGATCAACATAGAATCCACAGAGAAACTGGCCACTTAGTGGAAGCATTCGTCTGATGTATGAGAAAAGCCTTCTTTTACATTCCATCCAAAGCCAGCAACAGGTGAATGGAACCAAGTAATGATGTCACATGCAGAAGAACTGAATAGCCCAAATCCCATCTCAAAGAATTGCGAGTAAATAAACTAATTGTTCTTTTATGTCATTAAATTTCAGGGTAGTATGTTACAAAGCAATAGATAACAAAAACACAGCAAAAAACAATTAAGAACATGCAGATACTAGTTGAGAAAGATGTGGTAATAGTGGTGTTGGGGGTGAAGGAGCCCATTTTAGTGTTATACACAATATATAAGAAAAGACCTCTGAGGATGTATCATAATCTTGGAAAGGGAGAAAATGTTTTTGGTCAAAAGAGTTCTATGAATTCAAGGAATCAGAAAAGCCTAAAGCATGTTTCTTTTAGAAAAACATTTACTACATATTAGTTGAGCTATTAAAAGGGCACAAAGTTGTCTAGCATGTTATAGACAACTCAGAGTACTATTATACTTGTGAGAATAAGGACAAAGTCGTCATATTTAACACCATACATGCCGAGTGTTATGCCCAAGCTCATCAAAGAAACTAAGCTAGATTTACTGGCAGAATCTGAAGAAAGCCATAATCGTGTTTACAAAAGCTAAAACAGATTGTGATAAAAATATGGAAAGCATAATTTTCTTCCAAAGACAGAACTGCTGCTAGGAACACCCAGACATGGTTGACATAGATCATTCTTCCAAGAAACTCTAGAGCCTGATGAAAGCACATTTGCCTCTTAAATCATCTTGTTTCCTTTTCTTGTCATTTCTCATGGCTCTAAATTCAAATCTGAGTTTTTAGATGTTAACAGCATAATTTTTTAATAAAATAATTCCTAGGTGTTTCTTATTAAAAAACACAAAGTACACAACTAATAATTCCTAGGTGTTTCTTATTAAAAAACACAAAGTACACAACTGATGGTGTATGTTCAACTTGTCATCAGCATGCAGAAAATAAGTTAATATTAAACAACATTTAAAATTTTTCTGAGAAAATAAAAGCCTAAGATAAATAATGAAAATATTATGAAGTAACCTCTACCTCGACATTCAATAGCCAACCCATTTTCTCTCCAGATTGCCTTCCTTTCAAGGATATTAGAAAGAATATCATGGTTGTAAATAAACATACACACACTCAAAAGTCCATTTTCTTTAGTTCATGGTACAGAAGCTGCATGAGCTAAGAAATTAAAGCTTAGAGCCATAGTTCATGATTAATATATTGTCATAGATTAAAAAGAGAATGCTAGTATGAATATTTTTGCTCACTGAAAATTATAAAATGTATCAGCCTCATTCAGACCATGTTATTTTTAATTGATAATCACTGGGCTACTCATGAAGTAGCCCTAATTTACTTGAAAGTAAAAGATTTTTAAGATCCTCTCATCACCCTATCCCAAAGATACTATTTATGTGGTCTTTATCTAAGTGGTCTCTTACCACACTTGGGGAACACAAAAGAGATTAATCGAGGAGTCTTGGAGAAATAACTTAGAGCTAAAGGGACCCAAGGATAATTAAATATTATGT